AAACCCTAAACCCTAAGGGCCTGAGGCTGTAGGGATCCTAGTCAGGGTTGTTTTGGGCTTTGGGGCCACTTTTTTAGGGTTTAGGGTTTAGGGTTTAGGGTTTAGGGTTTAGAGGCCAGGGCTTCGAATTGTGGGATTGGCGGGTTTCCACCCCACTGTTTGTGTAGGTGACTCTCTAGTGTGAGTACGGATAACCAGAAGTTTTTGTTTTTTTCGGCCCTATGCAATTCAGTTTCTGTTGTTCGCACTCATAAGCCCTAAAACCGTAGACCCTATATAAACCCTGTTCGCACTCATAAACCCTAAAACCCTATAAACCCTATATAAACCCTGTAGGGTTCAGGGTTTAGGGGTTGGGGATTAAAGTTCAGAGTGGAGTGTAACTCCGCTCAGACTTCAGATCAAGGTGTCTGATGGTGGCCCCAAGCCATAGCTGTTAAAGACAAAGAAGCAGCACCACCACAGTGGGTTTAGGGTTTAGGGTTTATGGCTCTGCCGTTCCGAAAAGCGCTTTTAACAAGCTTGGCTTTGTGTGGGTCTGGGAGAACAGACGAGTTGAGCGTGCTTGCGATGGTTGAGTGTATGTAGTGACGAGTGTAAGAGGACCGAGATCGGCCGGTGGCTAAATGAATTCGGGTACCTGCTCGGGGCACATGATCCCAAATGGCAAGGACGCAGTGTCTGAGTTGGTGGCAGGGGCATCTGACGAGTTCGTTTTTAAAGTGCGTACCCTAACCCTAAACCCCTAGCCCCTGAACCCTAAACCCTATACCCTAAACCCCTAAACCCTAACCCTAAACCCATAAACCCTAAACCCTAAACCTTTAACTTTTCGAAACCTTCCAAAGGATGCCTTGCTGGCAGCTCGGTGCGCCCGAGCCCTGGTTCTTGCTCGGAGTGTCAGGGTTTCGGGTTTAGGTTTTAGGGTTTTGGGTTTTGGGTTTAGGGTTTTAGGGTTTCGGGTTTAGGGTTTTAGGGTTTTGGGTTTTGGGTTATAGGGTTT